TGGTAATCCTACAAAACTTCTCCATTACATAAAGGCATATAAATATCCATACAACAGATAATTAAACACAAAAAAAAAAGTCTCACCATATTATTCTTCAGCAAAAACACATAAAATAACACTTACTTCAATGCTTATTCTCATTATACAGTCTGATGCAGATTACTAGAATTTTTTAACTCCAGTTTAACTTCAGCTTAATACAATATGATTGCAAGATCACTAAATATCTTATATATTAAGTTCATGTTAATAATTTTTTTTTTATAATTTCATTAAATTTAAATAGTTTAGTTTCACAGTTTTTCAGTTTGGGATATAAAAAAAAAGGAAAATAAATTGTTATTTTTATTAGAAAATGCATAAATGTATTAGTCAAAAATGGATATCTGTGTAATAAAGAAATTGTGCTTCACTGAAACTTCAAATTCATCGCTTAATTCTTAAGAAAATTGACCATGGTTCCCTCAAAAAATACTATCAGTACCAAAGTTTCCAATAATAATAATTATTAATAATAATAATAATCTGTAAAAGTATGTTAAATATATTAAATTCATTTACTTTTCGGCTTAGTCCCTTTATTAATCAGAAGTCCCCACAGTGGAATGAACCACCAACTTATCCAGCATACTGTATGTTTTACGCAGCGGATGCCCTTACATCCACAACCCAACACTGGGAATCACCCATACACTCTTGCATCCACACACATACACTACAGCCCGTTTAGCTTAATCAATTATTCAACACCTAAGCACATGTCTTTGGACTGTGGGGAAAACCGGAGCACCCAGAGGAAACCCACGCTACAAAAGGAATAACATACAAACTCCTAACAGAAATGGCAACTGACACAGCCAGGGCTCGACCTTTTAGCTGTGAGGCGATTCTGCTCCCCACTGCGCCACTGTGACGCCCAAATACATTTCAATAGAAAACAATTAATATTTAGCAATATTCTATATTAATTATTTTACTGCGCCGAAATCATTTTAATACACTTTGTTAACAAGTAAATGCAGCCCTACACTTTTAAATCTAATAATCTGACAGTACTTTTTTTCTTCTGTGATATATACTGTATAGTGCTATGAACATATCAAGAACACAATTTCACCAAATGACTTAAATACCTCTTATTTCCAAGGTCATTCATTTAGATTGATTCGGATGATTATGTAGGTGAGTGAATCATGTACAGGGGTATAGCTATAGCTACTATTTTATATAGCTACATTTTTTATATAATTTATTATATACATAAAATAAACAAACTACAGTCATACATAAACACAATGAAGCAAAAAATTAAGTGAAATAAAACATAATCTATGGTTTCCTGGGACGTCTACTAGCATTAAGGTAGATAAATCAAAAAATTAAATACAAAAAATATTTAAAATTTATCTTTATTAGTTACAAACAGTAAAATTCCTTCTGCCTGAATGCTTTAAACGCTTTTGAAATACTCATACAATCACAGGCCTTAAAACACATACACATGACAAACTTGCACTCCAGAAATCTCATGTGTTTTGACCTGTGGCTCTTGGTCATCTATAATCCCAACTCAACACTGCATATATTTTAATGTCAATATTACGGATAGACACATAGTGATATTAATACTGAAAATATTGTGCACCCTTACTTTTAAACAATAGTGATTGGGTTTCTAGAATCTGCTGACGGAATCAAAAGCTATTGTAGAAACAGGATATGAAGTTAAATGAGATGTTACAGTAGATAGCGGAATAAGCCCACTGCTTCATCTCACTGTCCAGCTCTGGCAGACAGAAAGCCCTAAGGTGGATTTACTGAGACAAAACCTCCCTACTGCACAGCTGAGCGAACAGACACAATACAAAGTTCAGCTCATCCACATCCTACCCAACAGCCAACGGGCAAAATCACAGACACCATACCACAATAGACCGTACTGAGCACAAATACAGCAAAGTGCCTTAAAACCCTCACTGTTATGGAAAAATAGGAACAAACTGCGCCTGTCCATGCTCTTGCTGCTTATAACACATAAGTACAAACAGCATCAGGAACTGATCCTGCTGGATACGACAATACTTGAAGAAAGGTTTTCAAGTGAATGACACTTCAGTGCAAAGCTGCACCGCTCCGCTTCACAAGTGTCTTTTAAATATTATTCAAATTACAGCAGGAAATTGTCAGTTCTGTTTTCATCTTGTTTACCAACATCTCATCTTCCCTGCGGATAAAGATCTGAATTACAATCCAATAGCTTCTTAAATAGTAGACTGAATCACACTGTGCATTGTGAAGGTAATACTGTGTTTGTTTCAATTAGAGCTCATACTCAATATATGGATATGAGATGTGAAAAACACCCCTGACACCGGCACTTATAGCATCAAGGGGTGATATTCTCAAATGTGGCAGTATATAATGTATATTCATCTTCTAATTGAGTTAACTAGTGGATTGGCTATGAATGCAGTTAAATAACAGGCTCTTGGACTGCTCAAATATTACACAAAATGCAAAAAGCCAGGAATATATTTGTTGATGTGTGTTATTACACTCCCGAGTTTAGCATCTGTGTCAGGTGACTAAGTGTTAATGTGTGTCTATATATATACACATATATACACACAAGCATGTTTGTGTTGTGTCAAGCACGCAGGCAGATTGCCTCACACAGTTCTTTTGAGACAGCAGGGAAGAATGTAAATTATAAATCCACTAAAATAAGCCCTATGATGAGGAGATTTGTGCTTTGAAATGTGTATTCGATTTTGTTTGATGTGTGACGTAATTTGAATTGAACAATGAGTACAGGGCGGGACAGAGTTGCCACTCCCCTTTTTTAAAACAGCCAATAGCATTTTGTTTTTATCATAGTTCAGTCAGTAAGAGTAGTTGAGCTCAAGTGCTTAAAGCAAAAGTGTCTTTAAAGGGACAGAAAATGTCAGATACTAGAGAGCATTTGATTGATCAGAAGATTTGATAAGAAACCGAAATATAAAACTGCAAGTTTGGATGTTTATATCTTCTAAAAATTATTTCACACTGAATGTGAAAGTTTTGTCTGTAATTTTATACAAAAAATTTGACCTCGCGTTGCATGAATCATATTGACACACTGCCTCTGAAACTTTCGTTCGTCATAATAAAATTCAAAGCTATTTTTTTTCTGCTTTTCACATCTGAAAAAGTGTTTTAAGAGGTGTTTTGACAGTCAGTCAGAGCCTCCATAAAAACAAAAAGCTGAATACAGAATGCCATCATTTGAGCTACAGATGACTTTAAGACAAACACAATGCCTAAAATAAAGATAGAACGTGGCGGACAGTTGAGAACCCCTATATGCTGGATTCAGTGACTGTCGCACCTCTACCCTGCGGCTGCTTGCTGTGTGTGTGTCTATACGTCTGACATACTGCCCATAGACATTATAATAGAAAGCATGGTCTGCTTTTGATCTGTTGCTTTAACATCTCAACACAGCCACCATCTATTATAATGTCTATAGGTACTGCCAGTCTCTATTCAGGATTTGTTTATGTACGTGAATGTGGGTATCACAAGCTATGTATCAAAATTCAACTCATTTCCTGAAATAAACTTTGCATTTCAGGATGATCCGGCACAAATCTTAGATAATGAGCTGAACTTTCCTTCTTCTCTACGCAGTATTGGATGAACACAATATGTAGCCTATTCCTCTCTTTTTCTTTCTAGAAAGAGGAAAACTAAGTTTCATTGCTTGAACTGAATTGAAATGGTTTGCTTTTTTCATAATGGATTTATTAATATGCAACGGACTTAATGTGCAAGGTTTGTTTATGTGACTAATTTTTCGCATATGAATATGAAAAAAAAACCCATGCGAAAATTTCTGACTTTGTTGTGCAAAGACCTTAAATGTGAATTTTGGCACTGTTTTAGAGCACACTTGCTTATACTGTAGATATTCTTGAGACCAGTGGTGCTCAAACCGAAATATAAAGGGCCTAAAACCAAATATCATTATGAGCCATGGGCCAAAGGTAAATATACGGAACTATATTACATTAAAGCTGCCATGGGCAATTTCCTAATTTATTTCATAATTTAAAAAAAAAATAAATAAAAAAAATTACTTTAAATCAGATTAACTAATGCAGCATAATTTTTATAATGATAATCTATTGCAATAAAAACATACAAGTAAATATTGGAGTTTGCTGAATACACTAGTCAAGCCTTTGCCTTGATTTGCTCAACAAACTCTCTGCATTGTCCAGTGTCTATCAGGTGACAGTATGTACATTTAAACTAAATCTGATCAATTTGCAATATTTAATTGAACAATTCACTTCAGTTAGCTTTAAACAATAAACAAACAAAAGGATTTAGACATTAGATTTTAAATGACAAATCTCTAAAGCTTCCCCATCATTCTTCCTCTTTTCTCAGATGGCATGACAGACCAAATCAAATGTTACCATTGGTCAACTTTGGGCACCTCTGTTTAAGACTATTATACTGATACTAACATCTAAAAACATTTCTAGTTTAAATGCTTTCTCTGCTCACATTGTAACACAAACTGATTAAGTCTCATTCAGCCGTCCAAACAAAAATTGCACTCATGTCATGATGATAATTATTGAGATTCCTGTTAATCAAAAAATAAAACAGAGACTAGAAAGCTAGTAAGAAAAATCACTTGAATAATGAGACAGACTAGCAGACATGAGAAGGAAAAATGCTGAATTTACCCCTGAAATAATGTGAAACCCCTCCATGAGCGTGGCAATCTGTTATCACCGAGACACATTCGAAAGGTTGACTCTGCTTGACAAAACTGGATAATTTGATCCCAAGTCAGTGCTTAAAAATGCTTTCCGCAGTGCTTAAAATTTGTGCTGACATCACAGAAAGAGTCAAGACTGAGAAAGCAAGCAAACTGAGAGGATATTTAACAACAGCAAACTGGAGCAAAATCTTCAGAGAGCGTGTAGAACATTAATGCTTACCTGAAGGCCTCTTCGCCTTAATATACTGGAGTCATCCATTTTTCTGTCTTATATCTGGATCCCAAACTTTAGTGAAGCTGTCCCAGTTTCCAAATCAAGGATAGAGTCCTTTCCTCGAGAATTAACAGCACTCCATGAGGCACAAATGATCTGACAGAGACCCGGCTTTGGGTAGTAGTGCTGGGAATTCGCTCTTTGCTGATGTCATTCTCATCCCCAGCAAAACACTGATGCGATCATCCTATGAGATTAGCAAATGACTATAGAACAACCTTTCACAAAAGCTACAACACTATTGTTGGTAACTTTTCTTTCTGTACAGCACCAGACATTCATGGGGGAAATAATTCACTATTTGACAGAGTCACAAAAGGTATTCCAAAATTTGAAAAAATTCAAGAGCACAGTTCAACCTCAGGGCACTGAAGGAGAAATTCAACACATGGCTCACATTCTTCTTCTCAGTTCAGTGTTTGCATCTGGCAGTTCAGAGAAAGAAGAGTTCAGAACAGCCTGTCTCTGTATCTTTGCTTCCTTGAAAGTACGGAATGGCTGGGAAATATGCGTCTTTCTTAAACTCATTCTTCATTCATCCATTCAGAACAGGTGACCTCTACAACAAATCAGAACATCTTTTCACTCGGGGGGCTTAAGAAAACACAACCTGTGCCTCTCCTTCACCTTATTCTAACGCTCTTAGTCTCCAGAGATTCCCGGATATCTTCATTTCTATGGAAACTACAGTCTCTGCATAACCGGCAGACAGATAATGATAAAAATGGCACCTCGGGGGATGAAAATAGAAAAATATTCAGGGCAGCGCAGTTCTCCAGAGATGCAGAATCAGTGTTAGGCGCAAAAAAACCTGCACTGAATTGATCAAGTTACGTTTAACACTTGGTGAAAGCATTCATCTTGTAGCTTGATTCGAGCAATAAAGTTGTTATCACTTGCTTCAACCGAAGAGTGGCTAAAAGTGGAAGGGCGGAAGCAAGCAGAGAATATTTTCAGCCTACACACTGGAGATGATCTGGAAACAGTCGGTAGCAGCAGCAGGAGGAGAATGCAGGCACTGGCTGCCCACTGACAGCACAAGGCAAACAACAACTCCAGTCAGAGCCGCATGGCTGGATTCCATTCCCCTCGGCCGAGAGGCCTCCCTCTCTCATTCGCCAGGAAGGCAAGCAAGCGGACGACAAAAGCCGTGCTGGCAGAGCTGTCTTTTCAGTGGCAGGTGCAAACAGACGCTGCACTCTCGCTGATTACTTGTCTGCTTTTCCTTCGCATATCTTCCCGGCTTTTTTCAGCTTCCTCAGCTCAGCCTGATGAACTGGACCACAGCCAAGATTGGTCTCCAGAAAACAAGCGAGATTGAAAACAAGATGAAAAATTCCACGCAAGAGAAGTGTCACTCAGAATTTCCTCATCTGCTCCCCTGTCAAAGCGCTTGAAGCGGTCCGCTGTTTGTGAATGGGCTGCCTGCCGGAGGGGCTGCAACGGCACAGTCACATTCAATCTTGTCATTTAAATCTTCCACTTGCACATTCTTTCTATCAGTGCACATGCAGGTGGTTAAAGGAACCAAAGAGCTGTATTTCTTTGCTTGTGCTGTACATATAAGCCTGCTGTATCTTCTGTTTCTCGCTCTCTGTTCCTTGTAAGCCGTCCTCCTCCTCCTCTTCGCAGCGCCTCACTGCTGAATGCTGCTTTATCTGTCCTATCAGCCAGCAACACACCCAGTCAGCCAATCAGACGCACACAGGCTCAGAGCTATTTGCATAATATGAATGGGGGAGCCAAAAAGCCACGCCTCTTCACTCCCTTCTCTGCCATTCTGCTCACAATGCTCTGCTTTACCCCAATACATAAAAATACACATACACACAAAAACACACATTTTCTTTTCTTACCCTACATACTGATACGACAACCATAAAATATCCTATCCTTTATGTCTCTCCTTGCTCTAATAGGATGTGTCTGTGTTTTGTACAAGGATAATAAGTGAGTCTAATATCAGTGTATTTGGTAATGACAGTCTAATGAGATTTTGCAGGGCTTTCCTTCAGTACAGTGATGCATTAGCAACGGCTGTGCTCATCTCAAGGGACTGCAAGAACAAAAGCAAGAGGAATTATCGTCCATAGGCAGAACATTGCCATTGCTGCTGCTGCTGTACATACAGTACTATACATCTATGGGTGTGTATATTAATCACCCAAATCTTCTCTCTCTTTTATTTTTCCCTGCTTTTGACGTCACAGATGCAGCAGAACAGGCAGGATAACAAACGTAAAGCATAGAAGAAAATGCATGTGTATTGCAGAGTGAGAGGGAAGTGGAGAGAGGAGCTCTGTCCTCCCACACACATACGCACAGTGAATAGCAGACATACACTCATTATATGATCAGGTGAGTGCCAGAGGAAAGGCAAATTATGTGTTATTTGGATTTGGGCATGCACAGTAAGATCACTCACAAAACCATAGTAACAGTGAGTGTGCCGTGAGAACACAATTAATACTTAATTCAATTCAATTTATGTTTATTTCTACAGCGATTTTACAATGTATGTTGTGCCAAAACAACTTAACAAAAATAGAAGGAGCAAATTGAAACTATGTCAGTCCAGTTTTCAGAATTAAAGTTCAGTTCAGTTCAGTGTGGTTTAATTTTCACTGCTGAAAGTCCAAACACTGAAGGGCAAATCTATCAATGCTCCAAAAGTCCCAAAAATCCCAAAACTAAGCAAGCCAGAGGAAACTATACCAAAACTTTAATTGACGAAAATAAAGGAAAAAACAAACAAAAGAAAAAAACAGGCTCAGTTGGGCATGACCATTTCTTCTCTGGCTAAACTTCTTGTGCAGGGCTGAATTACTTTTCAGAATTACTTTGCTTAGTAATTTTTAATACGTTTTGTTTTTACTGCGGCTGAAAAATAATTTTGGTAACACTTTAGTTTAAGTAATAATCCACATAATTTACTAGGGCTAGACAATTAATTGAACAGTAATCGAAATTCGAATCGAATATCCATTACATTAAAATTATTATTCATATTTTAAGATTTGTTTACAGAAGATGCAATAAATGCACTATTTAAAATATTGTTGACAGGAGATAAAAGAGATATTTTATTCAGAAGACTCACATTGAAAAATAATTTATTTTATGTCCAAAAGTTTTAACTTTTTATAAGAAGTGACTGTTGGTTTTAGGTGTGTTTTAATGTCAGTTGTTCAACGTTGATGTTCAATAAATAATGATAGAGAGTAGACAGTGTGTGTTTTCTTTAATTATTTTAAAATCAAGTAATGCACCCTTCATTCAAAAATCTCTCACTTGTAATAAGTGAGCATAATTACTGCAAAAAATAAAGAAAGAAAGAAAATAATCATTCATTAATTATAATCAAGTAAAAATGTTTAATTATTCAAGATTTTGATTTTAGGCCAAATAAAATTGCCCAGCCCTATCATTTACTATTGGCTTATTACCTGCCTATTATTAAGTTATTAATGGTTTATTATAACTTATGAAGTATGATCTTATTTTACATGCCTAATCCTACCCAATACCTAATGGCAAGTTTATTCGGCTAAAAAAGTCTTAGCTAATAGTTTTCTAATGGTTTTTTAAAGAAATAATTTTCTTTAAATATATTCTTAAATTTCAGAAACATATGGATGAAGGTCTGCAGTTATTCTATGGCATTTCCAGTTGTTTGTTAATAACTGACTGCAAAGATTACATGTTGTTGTTTGATGTTAAAACTGGCCAAATTTGCCTATTCTTGTGATTCCACAAAAAAACTTCCATGCAACTGTGCTGTAGCACATTGGCCTTGTTACAGGATTTACGTTATTCACAACATGCCTTAGCACTTACACATTTACAGCACTGAAATCTGTGCTTTAATGTAAATGCATATCTTGGGCCTAAATTATGTTATCTGGTGATGCACTGAATTTCTGGCCATTATATATCCACAACATATATATATATATATAATTTTTTTTCTTTTTTTTTTCTTTTTTTTCCCACTAGGGAACTTATAGTGAATTTTACATCCAACTAAAAGTTAATGCAACATATAACTATATGACATGTTTGCAATAACATTTTTAAAAATATGTTATTGCACAAAATCTTCAGTGACATGGATGGAACAATATAAACATTAGGACCAATAACAATAACCAATGTTAATGAAATAACTGCCACAAAAGGCAAACAAATACAGTAAACAAACTTTATTTTTGATAAACTGCTTAGCTAAACAAGAAATATAAAGCAGTCGATCAACCTTTTACAGGCACTTACAGATACTGAGCCTGATTTATCACATCGAAGTTCAAGGGTTAGTGGTCAAGTCAAGGACTAGAGAGGAAACATGGCCCACTGATACAGGGCTTATCAGTGACAACTGTTCCCTGAAAAGAGGGCGCTATCTCATGCGGTTACCCAGTAACTGAAAATTTTCCAGCCAGCCAAAGGTGTGAGAATAAGGCATCTGCTAGGCAGCCTGCCATACTAAACATGCATCATAAACATCTTCAAGAATTGCTGAAGGCCAAATAGTCTAAGCATTTTTAGATGAAGTTTTAAGCATAAACAAATGCATGTCTTTATACATTTAATGTGACGTTACACAGAAGACATGTTTGGCACATACATCAGCATAGGGGTCACGGTGCAATATGTGTTCAGTACAACAGGAATAAGCAACAAATTCCCAGTGCTTCCTTTTTCTCTTTAAATATATCATCTACATTTTTTAGCTAGCTAAAGCAATCTACTCCCGGGAAGTGGTAGAAATCATGGGCCGTGCAATTTACTTCTAGAAGGAAGTTGAAATTGGGGGGAGGCACGTAATTAGAGCTGTAAAGCTTAACTTTTCGATCTTAGGTGAACATTTTAATCTGTTAGAGACGTCCAATAGATTAATAGGTACCGAAAAAGTCCAGAGAGAGAGAGAGAGGGGGGGGGGGGGGGGTGATCACCAGATTGGGGAAGTCCCAGAGTAAAATGAGAAAATATGATACACCAGCATTTTGGAATAGGGAAAAACTGTCTTTACGTGTTCATCTGTTTTTATATTATTTGTTTCTATTTTATTTATATTTCTCTCTTGTATTCCTGTTTACGTAAAGCACTTTGAATTGCCACTGTCTATGAAATGTGCTATATAAATAAACTTGCCGTGTCTAAACATTTTCACAAAAGATTTTATTTTTTGCCAAATTAAATGAGAAGTTGAATTTATGATCTCTTAAACAAGGCTAATAAAAACTGTTAAACTCACAGTCTTCATGTTATAAATAAATAAGCTGGTTTATTTGCAATTTAGATGAAAACACAATAGTGAAATAATAAAGCATTATGATAATTTTATGTTCATAACCCGAGTAAGTTCCTCAATTTAAGAATCATATAGAACTCCAAAAACAATTCACTTAGTTCAACAGAAGAGGCAAATGAATTGTATGCTGTAAATATACATTACTAATGAGCCTGCATTATAACAACATCCTGCGAGGCTTCAAATACCTGTATTACATTACAAGTCTGAGTCTGCCACTCAATAACCAGCACCTGGGAGGCACTTCATGGCATAAAAAGCTGACGTGTGACAAATACTCTGACTATTCATGTAATAAGATAGTCCTGACCCAGCACACACTCCGCAGACACTGCTCCCGTTTCATACGGGACACGAACCCCCACAAATCACATTCTGGGCTTCAGTCCTGAGGGACACAGCAGAAAACATCATTGATCTATGCATGATTCTAGAGACAGACAGCATGTTCACTATTATTGATCAGACAGAGCAATGGCATGAATTCTAAAGGTTACATGCTTGGGTCACGTAGGGCATGTTTATGACACAGCTCACAAAAAAAAAGCAATTGCAAAACACCAATATTAAAAGTTCAACAAATGTAAAGTATGTACGTGTAGGTTAAAAATGATGACCACAATGACAACTATATCACAATACACACAAACAAACACTTATTTGAACAGATGAGTTTTATCATTTTTTTTATTAATTCAGCTGATCTCCAGGTCTGGTGAGAGCACTTTTAGCCTAGGTTAGCATAGATCACTTAATCAGATAAGACTATTAGGTCTCACTCAAAAGAGATTTGATAACATTCCTATTTAAAGCTTGGCCATTCTGCAAGTCCAACAGAAAATGAAAAGTAGCTATTTTCGAGGCTGATAGGGCAGGGAACTATAATCTTATCTTGGCGTCATGATCAAAAAACCTTGCTGTCGTGCCATGACTGCAGCAGCACTATGGTAACAGCGCTGCATAATGTACTTACAGAAGAGTGCAGCTTTAAATAGGAAAATTATTCATTTTTGAGTGAGATGCTAATGGTCTAATCCAATTCAAAGATATATGCTAAGCTAAAAATGCTCACGCCAGACCTGAAGATCAACTGAATGGACTTAAAATTGTAAAACTCTATTGTTTAACTCTAGGAGAGCTGTAAAATAAGCCTCTTTCCAATAAACATGCAGTTTTTATTCAAAGTCAGATAGATTTCAAAGGCCTCTCTACAGATTATGTCTTTTCCATTTAGTAAACATTCATTCATTCATTTTCTTTTTGGTTGAGTCCCAATATATATTAATATGAGGTCGCCACAGAGGA